ACTAAAAACCAATCACTGCAATGCTGGATATGGACGCTTACATGCTGTATGAGGGTTAAAAAGCTGCTTGTGTTGCTAAGGTTGGAGTTTGATCCTGTTGCTGAGCAGAGATAGTCATGAGAGTGGTGCCGAGCTGATGAAACATCAATTCCAGAACAAGAGCAGTCCAGTTTTCATAACTCCCCGAGGTAAAGGAATTCAAACTGGGGTTGTTTTAAAAAAAGGAGAAAAAAAGAAATACATTTTGTACAACCTTCTGTAAACATGAGCGTAGGCAGAATATTGCAGACTGCAAAATCAAATATTTGGCAAAAGAAAATAATAATGTTAGACATTTAGAACGTGATACATTCTGTGCTTTATCTGAGTGCAGCCCCGTCGGGGTCTCGCAGTCCCCGCTGAGAGCTGCCTGCCACAGTTAACAGATTAGAAAAAAGGCTTCAGGTAACAGCTTTAAGACTACAACAAGCCAGCCAGTCACACAGTGAGACAGCATTAACTACTGATTCCACCTGCTCAGATATCCGACAGGTATTCCCCACCCCGGTCATGGATCGAATTTATTCCTCAATAAAAATAGAAATCCATGTCTGGGAAAGGCAGCCTGTTAGCAACAGGCTCGAAAAAACAAAACAATAATCATACAAAAGAAAATGTCAAAGAAAAATATCCATCCTTCATTAGCTTTAACTAAGATAATCATCAAACGCAGCTGTTTGAACTGGTCCATCGCACCTCTGGCAACTTCATCTCCAGTCCGCCTGACTCTAAACAACGGCGATGACGAGAGGACTCGTATCGACTTTAAGAGAAGCCTTGACATTTCAAGTCTTGACGGCAGTTCCTGAAGGGCAGTCTGGTTTTTCTTGAGGATCGGTGACATATCGGGAAAAATGTCAAGGTCTCCCTTTCAACAGTGTTTTTGTAAGATTTTAGCTAGGAGTGTGGAGCACCTACTCCGTCATCTCAAATACAAAGAGCTAAAGAGAAACTGACCTCCAGCCCTTTATCCCCGCCTCACAAAACACCTTAAAGTGTCTGATGTAGTTTGGCATTATACACTTCTACATATAAACGCAGAGGGGCAAAGACCCGCTTCGCTCCCGGGAACAGCGTCTGGAAATAAAGCAAGACCTTTATCCATGTACACACTTTAAAAAAAACAAAAAACAAACATCAGCTCACATTTAGATGAAGAGGAACACATGGAAGCGCACTCACTGTGGCGTTTGCAGAAAGAAGAGAAACAGGCATGTCTATACAGCCTGAACTCAAAGAGCTGAGCACTTATACAAGTCGAGTCACCCAATCAGAAGGAGACTTCAGAAGGTTTAGGATACAGTGAGCTGAAAGGCCTTTACGGGCCTTTGTGTGGAGAAATGTGCCAGTTAGAGTATCTTCTACTCCTGCTTTTACAGCCAGTTTGATGGTTGTCTGGTGCAGCGTGCAGACATCAATCTGCCGTTAATACAAAGCGCTCAGACTGTTCTTTCTGCTGAGAGACCAGCTGAACATGGCCTCGAGTCGAGGAGAGGAAGGCTGTAATAATGAGACTGCAGTGGTTTCTAACACTGACCAACATATAACATCCATGCGCACGCACGCACACACACACACACACACACACACACACACACACACACACACGTCAGCATTTCCAGTTTTTAATAAAGTGCAGGGAGAACAGCAGAGACGGGACAAATAAATGGTCTCCATGTGTCGAGAGTTTA